TGAAAGCGGTTGAAGATAAACGTTGATGAGGTGGTAACCAAACTCTGGTAAAGTGGTCGAAGATAAACGTTGAGGGGTGGTAACCAACAATTCCGAGGGACTCAGAATACCGACTTGGGCATTTACATCGCCCGCAAAGATCACGATGTCAGGACTTCTTGCTTGACGAATGAGCCTGGATAATTGTCGATAGAAAATATCTTTCTCAATGTCAGAGCTGCAGTGCGTTGCGGTGTAAGCTAACACATTACAAACCAAGCCAACACTATAAAGAGTTACCGTTTTTTTGTCGAAACGTACCGAGCCTCATTAAACTGGATAACCAGAGGGCACAAAGACAACTGTACACTGAGATCCAACCCAGAAAAGCACGTTTAGCTTTGGGGCTGAGTGCAAATCCCACGCCACATATTCCACAAGTTGTCGCTTCTGGATCACGGGACACACAGAGGGAGAAATGCGCAAGGGTAGGGCATTATTGTCCCACTCCTGATACGACTGCGCACGGCAGGTGCCCCTTAAACAGCGACGGACTCTTTGGTTTTAAAAGTATTTTTACTGCATTTCATAATGCACCGGCGGTCACCGTCAACCGTTGGGCGATTGGAGTGTGCGGTTTTTGGGGCCGACCTTTTCTAACCCATTGTCTGGAGGGAACACCTCACTGCCTTCACTCTTGTCCCAGAGGACTGTTCGACTTTACCCTCAGACCACCCTGATTACTCGTAGTACAAAGTCTTGCCGCTCTTAATCTGACTGCTCTACTTTGGCCTTCCTGGCATGATTGCACCTCGTGGAATGAAGTTCCAGTCAGTGTAGCCCGCGGATCATTGGGGCCAGAGGACTGTTCGACTTTACCCTCAGACCACCCTGATTACTCGTAGTACAAAGTCTTGCCGCTCTTAATCTGACTGCTCTACTTTGGCCTTCCTGGCATGATTGCACCTCGTGGAATGAAGTTCCAGTCAGTGTAGCCCGCGGGATCATTGCGGCATTCAATCCCGACCACGATGTCAAGGTGGCAGCTTTGGATTGTGTGTTAGATCGAGAGTTTTAGGTATATGTGAACCGTTTTGTATTTCGCGTTAGAAGCGTGCTGAAACAAGTGGTAATGTTTAAGAGACCCCCTTTAGATTGTTATCCTGCGCACTGGCAACATCATGTAATCGCCTTATCAACGCGCACAATTGATCAGTCTTTCGCTACGACTGAAAAACTCGATTGGAGATAGTGCCCTGGTGTTCGAACGCAGCCCATTGACTGTCAGTGTTTTCAATTAAAACATAGTGCCAATACTGTAGAATTCGCTTTTATTTTTTTCTAGAGCTCAGCCGGTTATGTTCTTGTTTATCGCCGCCGAGATAACGAATGCCGTACGCCATCCACCATACCTACGACCTCCGACAACCATCCAGTTCTCAACAACGGCAACGCTTCAAACAGCCATTTAGATGCCGATGATATGGACCTCGGGAGCCAACCAACCGTCTATCGTCGTCCTATCCCTCAATACATTAACGATGATGATCTCACAAACGTTGAATAGTTTTGCCACTGTATAACTTTTCAGCTTTTGTGTCACATGCCGTACCGGCGACCGCTTCTTGAGCAACTTGAATGGTCAAAACCCTCAGATTCAAAACCGAGTTTTCGACATCTTGTGGACGTCAAGCCCTCGAAGTGATCTGTTAGACAGCAACTCATCTAATCCCTCCCTAACCACTCCTCTTGTTCGTAATTTGATTCCATTTTTTGAGTCGGACCTGTTTCCAGATTCGCTCACTTCCATATTTTGCGGCTTTCAGTGGCTTGTTTTCACTCGTCAAGCCCCTTGCTGATCCTTCAATGGAAGTTCTAGAAGTTGCACCATTTTGTCGAAAACTCAACTCCATTTTCGACCGGTACACACGTCTCTACTGACGAACTCAGGTCCTTGTTTTCTCTCTATGGTTGTTTGGGCCCGGGTACATTTCACCGTTCGTAGGTAAACGGTTCCTCTTGATGCGAGGCTGTGTCGTTAGTAGGACTTTCTGCCGGACAATGATAGTCGCTCCTTGAGGGCTGACAAGAACCATTTCCTCATTTGCCATGTGAAGGGTGGGACCAACCCACGGCCAAGGTTCCCTGATCTCCACGTACACCATAAATCGGAAGAAAATCCTCTATATGACCACTCCGTTTACAGCCTTGTTGCTTCACACCGCTGTTCAAAGTGAAACTGTAGCTCGGCTAAGTGAACGTGGACTATGGCGTTCTTGGTGACGCGCCGGTAGGATAACTGTTACAGACAGCTTTAAGCTGACTTTTGAGCTATCAATTTGTGAGAGCAATCCTAAATGCGCACTCAGTGATTACGTTTTTACGCATGCTCCTGTAGCAGTAATCGTTCCTTCCAAGAGACTGTGGCTACGTACCTTCCTGTAAACGGTACCTCCTGCCTCGTTTCGCACCATAACTGGGTATTTGGAACTGTTTCAAAGCACCATTCTTGCTGCGAAAAACCAACCTACCTGAATTGTCCAGGTGACCCGACGATTTTCATCACGACGTAAACTTACTTTCAAACGTATGTCCATTGGTGCTTTTAACCGCTTGGATTTTTAAAATGTCTGCGGTGGGATGTCCTACTCACTCAGAATAATTTGTGAGATGTCTTTTAAGAATTGATGGAAGGCGGATGAGGTACGCCTTTCGGTTGCAAACTTGAACGGTCACTCAGAGAGTATGTGGACAACCAACTTATTTTTAGCTTGTAGACATACAGGGGAACCCTACAGACATACAATAGAAGGAAAACCGTTTGTGTAGTGGTGATATACCAACCAACATGTTTTTGAAGTGACCGTTTGAGCATGAAGGCCGAGGGCCAGTGAGGGGTGGTTTGAACGGCCAAATATTTCCAGCGATCGAAGTGCTCTGTGTAGTGTTATCTGTCAAAGGTACTGAAGAAGCTGAAAAATCCTCAGTAAGAAACCGTATTAATCTGGTGAGATGAGAACGTAAGAGAAGCAAACTGTGCTGAATTGGATGGAGTGGTCTGAGTGAAAGAGGAGAGTTGGTAATGCGTTGAAACTACGCACTGATGATGTCTCCTCGTACGGTGACGAAGCGTTTGCAAGCCAATTACCAAGCTCGGCGAACAGATCAACAGCCACCTGATCAACAACTAAGATAGAAGAGAGTTTAAGGCGGGTCGTCAGTTACTTTTTCCATAATCGTTCAGCTGATGCAGAAGAGGATAGCTGGTAGTTAAAATGGCACCTTGGATCGATCAGCATACTTCGGGCTTAAGAACAGTTGCTCAGGAATTGTCATTTGCTTTGGTGCGTGAATGGGGATGCCACCGGAGATTTGTAGGGCTGAGGTACCGTGTTCATCATTCACAGGAGCCTCGTATATTGGAAAAGGAATTTTTTAGGTCTCTGTCCAAATGTGTAATAGTCTTTTGTCATGTTGGTTTTATGAGCTGGTCGCGGTGGGACTCTGCCTGTGGACAGTGAGGTAGTCGACATATTTTTTGCCGTGGGGTTCCATGATAAGATTGAAACCTATCTGACAGACATGAGAAAAAACCTCAGAGTAGCCTGAAGTAGCGGCTTTCAACATGCTGAGCGTGTCTGAGATATGGAGGTTTTTTATACGTAACGGAATGCTGAAGACCACAAAGAGGGCGGTTTATAAACGCAAGCATGGGAACTTGTAATCGGTTTCCCATAAAGGAGCTCCTAGTTGTTGACATTGCTGCCCGGCTGAATATGGGCTAGTTACAAATTATGATGAGGATAACGGAGCTGTTGTTCCTTTGAAGCTACCGGACATCAGTATCGAAAAGCACAAGTGTGTTGAAGTTAGGACTAAGTTCTCTAAGTGGGCAGATCTGACAACAAGAACTCGGTCACCCTATGTATCTTTGCTACGGTTACACCCACGGGTTGACATTTGAAGACGTGATTCCTGTGATTCAAGTCTACATCACTGACCTACGATTAACTTGCGTACACCCCTCGTTATCTTTCGCTTCACTGCGTCCTAGAACGCATATGATCACTGAATTCCACCATGGCATCATCGCTGTATACATGAATCTCTCATTATCGCCAATGGGACTAATTGAACAACTGGTAAGTTCACTTTCATAACGGTAAGAATTCAGCTTCAGCGCAGACACCGACCGGTCATGGATTAATCAGACACCTGGTGAGTTAGCTTGTGTAAACTTGTTTAATTATGTGTTTCCAAAGATATTGCCGAATACGTACATAAGTTATTATTGTTAAGTATAATACAATATATACAATATAACTAAGAAGGCATTAGAAAAACTGTGGTCCACAACAAGCTGGCGATAGAAACACTTGGAAATCGAACTTCACAATACCGCTTTCACATGAAGAACTGATCTTGTTTTTCCAACAGCAGCAGGCAAAAGTTGAAGAGTCTCAGTTGAGGTTAGTCGAAGCAATCCTTCACAAATCGGAAATTCGTAGCCCAGCCACAAGTGAAACGCAGGAATATTCCGTTGACGCTGTTGCAAACAGCATATCTGAGTTTTACTAAAGTGCAGAATCCAACTCCACCTTCGAATCATCGTTCCGAAGATACCAAGACATTTTTCGGACAGAATTTGTGAATTTGGATGATGTTTGGAAGTCACGACTGTTGCTCCGGGAGCTCGGGACAAACGAGCACGACAAATTTATTAATTTGATTCTCCTTAAAGCCCCAAAAGACTTTTCCTTTTATGAAATTGCACATCTTTTGAAAGGTAATTTTTGCAAACCGTCTTCTTTACTGAACGTTGTTTGAAGGTGCTTAAATCGGACAGTGATGACTATCTTACCTATACAGGCCTGGTGAACCGTTGGTGTGAAATAGTCAAACTCAGGGAAATGGCAGAGGATCAATTTAAATGTCTCACCGTTATCTATGGGCCACAGTCGCCACGAGATGTCGAAATCCGAACTCGATCGCTGAGCAACATTGAGCAGGATCCATCAATCAACCTCCAAACGGTTACCCCGCAGTGCCAACGTTTACTTAATCTCAAGCACACTATAGCCACGATAGAACGCAATATTCTGTCCCAGTCTGGCCATGTGCACACCGTTTCAGTGATTATTTAAAGGCCAGGTGCGAGAAATCAATCGGTGTAGTTCAGTAAGTCACCTTCGCTTTGCTGGTCGTGCAATGAATGGCACTTCGTCCGTTTCTGCCCTTACAGGAAGCATCAGTGTCAAAGGTGCCACAAAACAGGACACAAAGAAGAATGTTGCCGCACAGCGTCCTCTGAACAAGGCCATAAAACATTCAAGCGAATAGTGCGTCCTTCAAAGCCGCACACGAAACGAGTACTAGCTGCTTTCAACCCGGATTGGAAACGCCAGAGGAAATTTGTGTCAGTTGACATACCTGTACGCCTACAACTTGATACCGCTTCCGACATCACAATCGTTTCCAAAGATATCCGGAAAATAATGAATAAACCTCTTTCCAAACCAACAAATAGTGTTGCTCTTTTTATTGGAAAATGTTGCCTCAATCATTCAATTTATGGGCTACAAACCGTGTGTCATAGCCACATTGGTTCCAGCTGTTGCAGTTTCGATCACCGGAAAACAGGAAAGTGGAACAGACAACCAAGCCTTGGAGCCAAAGGCATGTTCAGTTTCTTTAGAAATCGGGTAGCTACGTACTGAAGGTGACAGCTTTGATGCACGAGCGCCACTGACTGCGCGATTGGGCCATTTCCGCTAATGTCATTAAACACTGATGATTTGAGTCCCGGGGTCCCCATCCAGGAAGGCGGCAGTTACCCACCAAACTTAGCTTACTGGTTAGTGTTTTCTTACTTCGTTACCAGGTCATACTCTGCCAACTCTCGGTCACTTCCACTCAGCAAAGGGCTGAGAAAAAGAGCTCTGTGATGAGGACGATCTTCACGCATGCGAAGTACATGTCCCAACCAGCTCAGCCTATTAAGGGTGAGTGATTCATCTATCGCGGAAGGGTTCCTTCTTCCTGTGATCATCCGGCATACCTCAGCATTACTAATCCGATGTTCCAACTCATACAGCTGCCCAGTAAACAAACTTATCTACGATGTCGATTGGCTCATGCGCAAGCATGAGGTGTGGGTTTGATCCCATTTGTTCTTGTAGCAGCAACTTACACGTAGGTGTGAAGCGCATGCCAAACCGTGCAACAGAGGTATTTGGTTTATTCGAAATCGTTAACATTTGGGAAGGATCTGAGCCAAGCAAAGCAATACTGTCCGCATACTCAACGTCTGTGAGGGAACGTCCCGGGAGCCTTTCGACTCCCGAGATTTCAGGGGCAGGCAGAGGAATTTCAAGCAAACTACCAGTAGCAAAGTTGAATAGGAATGGGGAAAGAAAACAGCCTTGTCTTGCACCACTGGATGTGGTGAACTCAGGCGATAGCTTCCCGTATACTCGTACACGCCTACAGGAGTTCGTATACAGTGCCATCATAAGGGAGACAAATTTGGTAGGCACACCTTAGATCGCTAGACACTGCCCAAGTTGC